GATAGAGAGTATTGTTTCAAGATCACGTGAACCAACCAGATCTTAACATTCTGACATGGAGGTAAGATAACTAGCTGTTGTCAGCTTACAAGACAGAGTGAAGGTTTGCTAGGGACAGGAGGATCCAGAGGGAGGTAGAACAGGGGGTCTGGACATCCCCTTTTGAAAACCAAATATATTATGTTGTAGACAATTTGTCCCCACCCCCCTCCACCGCACGCACGCACACACACACACACACACACACACACACACACACACACACACACACACACACACACACACACACACACACACACACACACACACACACACACACACACACACACACTGATTTTGGACCCCTCCCTTTATAAATGCTGGATCTGCCCTTGCTGTGTGTGTGTATGCGGTGGAGGGGTTGGGGAGAAATTCTCCTAGATGACATGCCTAGAAAACACATATACTGTGTACTATAATAGATTGAGGAATTATTAAAGTTGGTCAACCTCTGCTGGCATTAGGAGGCCAGACTCCATGACTTGGTTGGTTGCTTATCATTGACCCCAACAGCATGGATCATTGCTCATGATATCAATCACTGGATTCCTGGTTCAGACTGGATTAGTACAGGCCACCATCATAAAGGTGGAATATTGCAGACTTTGCAACAGCAAACATTCATTTCTAAATCTCAACACTGAACTCAAAGTATTATTCTGACAATTATTGAGACATCGTTGTACATTTTAGTGGTAATGCAAGCTGTTATAGAGAGACGGTTCTTATGATATCGATTTTTGAGATGTGTGATCCCACCGCTACGAGAAGGCTTGTACAACATCCCCTCCATGTGTTGTGGTCAGTGGCTAATGTCCTCCACCCTTGGTGCTGTGTGATCCCATCACTACGAGAAGGCTTGTACAGCATCCCCTCCATGTGTTGTGGTCAGTGGCTAATGTCCTCCACCCTTGGTGCTGTGTGATCCCACCGCTACGAGAAGGCTTGTACAACATCCCCTCCATGTGTTGTGGTCAGTGGCTAATGTCCTCCACCCTTGGTGCTGTGTGATCCCACCGCTACAAGAAGGCTTGTACAACATCCCCTCCATGTGTTGTGGTCAGTGGCTAATGTCCTCCACCCTTGGTGCTGTGTGATCCCACCGCTACAAGAAGGCTTGTACAACATCCCCTCCATGTGTTGTGGTCAGTGGCTAATGTCCTCCACCCTTGGTGCTGTGTGATCCCACCGCTACGAGAAGGCTTGTACAACATCCCCTCCATGTGTTGTGGTCAGTGGCTAACCTCCCCCACCCTTGGTGCTGTGTGATCCCACCGCTACGAGAAGGCTTGTACAACATCCCCTCCATGTGTTGTGGTCAGTGGCTAATGTCCTCCACCCTTGGTGCTGTGTGATCCCACCGCTACGAGAAGGCTTGTACAACATCCCCTCCATGTGTTGTGGTCAGTGGCTAACCTCCCCCACCCTTGGTGCTGTGTGTTCCCACCGCTACGAGAAGGCTTGTACAACATCCCCTCCATGTGTTGTGGTCAGTGGCTAATGTCCTCCACCCTTGGTGCTGTGTGATCCCACCGCTACGAGAAGGCTTGTACAACATCCCCTCCATGTGTTGTGGTCAGTGGCTAATGTCCTCCACCCTTGGTGCTGTGTGATCCCACCGCTACGAGAAGGCTTGTACAACATCCCCTCCATGTGTTGTGGTCAGTGGCTAACCTCCTCCACCCTTGGTGCTGTGTGATCCCACCGCTACGAGAAGGCTTGTACAACATCCCCTCCATGTGTTGTGGTCAGTGGCTAATGTCCTCCACCCTTGGTGCTGTGTGATCCCAGGGCTACGAGAAGGCTTGTACAACATCCCCTCCATGTGTTGTGGTCAGTGGCTAATGTCCTCCACCCTTGGTGCTGTGTGATCCCAGGGCTACGAGAAGGCTTGTACAACATCCCCTCCATGTGTTGTGGTCAGTGGCTAATGTCCTCCACCCTTGGTGCTGTGTGATCCCACCGCTACGAGAAGGCTTGTACAACATCCCCTCCATGTGTTGTGGTCAATGGCTAATGTCCTCCACCCTTGGTGCTGTGTGATCCCACCGCTACGAGAAGGCTTGTACAACATCCCCTCCATGTGTTGTGGTCAGTGGCTAATCTCCTCCACCCTTGGTGCTGTGTGATCCCATCGCTTCGAGAAGGCTTGTACAACATCCCCTCCATGTGTTGTGGTCAGTGGCTAATGTCCTCCACCCTTGGTGCTGTGTGATCCCACCGCTACGAGAAGGCTTGTACAACATCCCCTCCATGTGTTGTGGTCAGTGGCTAACCTCCTCCACCCTTGGTGCTGTGTGATCCCACCGCTACGAGAAGGCTTGTACAACATCCCCTCCATGTGTTGTGGTCAGTGGCTAATCTCCTCCACCCTTGGCGCTGTGTGATGCCACCGCTACGAGAAGGCTTGTACAACATCCCCTCCATGTGTTGTGGTCAGTGGCTAATGTCCTCCACCCTTGGTGCTGTGTGATCCCACCGCTACGAGAAGGCTTGTACAACATCCCCTCCATGTGTTGTGGTCAGTGGCTAATGTCCTCCACCCTTGGTGCTGTGTGATCCCACCGCTACGAGAAGGCTTGTACAACATCCCCTCCATGTGTTGTGGTCAGTGGCTAACCTCCTCCACCCTTGGTGCTGTGTGATCCCACCGCTACGAGAAGGCTTGTACAACATCCCCTCCATGTGTTGTGGTCAGTGGCTAATGTCCTCCACCCTTGGTGCTGTGTGATCCCACCGCTACGAGAAGGCTTGTACAACATCCCCTCCATGTGTTGTGGTCAGTGGCTAATGTCCTCCACCCTTGGCCCTGTGTGATCCCACCGCTACGAGAAGGCTTGTACAACATCCCCTCCATGTGTTGTGGTCAGTGGCTAACCTCACCCACCCTTGGTGCTGTGTGATCCTACTGCTACAAGAAGGCTTGTACAACATCCCCTCCATGTGTTGTGGTCAGTGGCTAATGTCCTCCACCCTTGGTGCTGTGTGATCCCACCGCTACAAGAAGGCTTGTACAACATCCCCTCCATGTGTTGTGGTCAGTGGCTAACCTCCTCCACCCCTGGCGCTGTGTGATCCCACCGCTACGAGAAGGCTTGTACAACATCCCCTCCATGTGTTGTGGTCAGTGGCTAATGTCCTCCACCCTTGGTGCTGTGTGATCCCACCGCTACGAGAAGGCTTGTACAACATCCCCTCCATGTGTTGTGGTCAGTGGCTAACCCCTCCACCCTTGGAGCTGTGTGATCCCACCGCTACGAGAAGGCTTGTACAACATCCCCTCCATGTGTTGTGGTCAGTGGCTAATCTCCTCCACCCTTGGTGCTGTGTGATCCCACCGCTACGAGAAGGCTTGTACAACATCCCCTCCATGTGTTGTGGTCAGTGGCTAACCTCCCCCACCCTTGGTGCTGTGTGATCCCACCGCTACGAGAAGGCTTGTACAACATCCCCTCCATGTGTTGTGGTCAGTGGCTAATCACCTCCACCCTTGGTGCTGTGTGATCCCACCGCTACGAGAAGGCTTGTACAACATCCCCTCCATGTGTTGTGGTCAGTGGCTAATGTCCTCCACCCTTGGTGCTGTGTGATCCCATCACTACGAGAAGGCTTGTACAACATCCCCTCCATGTGTTGTGGTCAGTGGCTAATGTCCTCCACCCTTGGTGCTGTGTGATCCCACCGCTACGAGAAGGCTTGTACAACATCCCCTCCATGTGTTGTGGTCAGTGGCTAATGTCCTCCACCCTTGGTGCTGTGTGATCCCACCGCTACAAGAAGGCTTGTACAACATCCCCTCCATGTGTTGTGGTCAGTGGCTAATGTCCTCCACCCTTGGTGCTGTGTGATCCCACCGCTACGAGAAGGCTTGTACAACATCCCCTCCATGTGTTGTGGTCAGTGGCTAATGTCCTCCACCCTTGGTGCTGTGTGATCCCACCGCTACGAGAAGGCTTGTACAACATCCCCTCCATGTGTTGTGGTCAATGGCTAATGTCCTCCACCCTTGGTGCTGTGTGATCCCACCGCTACGAGAAGGCTTGTACAACATCCCCTCCATGTGTTGTGGTCAGTGGCTAACCCCCTCCACCCTTGGTGCTGTGTGATCCCACCGCTACGAGAAGGCTTGTACAACATCCCCTCCATGTGTTGTGGTCAGTGGCTAATGTCCTCCACCCTTGGTGCTGTGTGATCCCACCGCTATGAGAAGGCTTGTACAACATCCCCTCCATGTGTTGTGGTCAGTGGCTAACCTCCTCCACCCTTGGTGCTGTGTGATCCCACCGCTATGAGAAGGCTTGTACAACATCCCCTCCATGTGTTGTGGTCAGTGGCTAATGTCCTCCACCCTTGGTGCATCTCTGGTTGATGTGCGCTGTCCTTCCATCTCACATGTAAAAAGTTTCCAATGTAATTATTTGACTATGTGCAGAAGAAACCAATGTGATTATCCCAAGAACAGAGAACTTGGATCCTTAATTTAATACTCTGTCGCTGAAACAGGATTTGTAGAGTGAACGTGACGACAATGCATAGATCACCATATTCAGCTGTCACTGTGCATGGCTTTTTACTGCAATGCTGGTAACAATTTGATTTGCTGCCAACCCCTCCTCATCAATGCTGAAGACATCGCTGTTGGGACTGTCCCAACTGCCAAGACAAGGCGATCGCTCACATTTTTCTTGAGTAAATTTTCGGATCATTGATTCAGTAAACTTTGCCATTTCATAGTCCAATATGTTGAAAAGCCGAATGACGAGAGACACATATTGGTCATGTGAGATGGGAGAGGTAAGTCCATCAACATGATTAATTATTCTCCAAGAACCAAATATAGTGAGGATTTCCCGCCAGATTCAACGATCTTTTCCCAAGTTGTGTTGCAGTGTGCAAAACAAATATTTGTCAATGTGCAAGAGAGTGATGTGAAGACCTAATTTGCTACGATCGTTTTTCAGGAACTATCATCTGCCCAGCCACCGAGTGTTTTGTTCACTGGAAGGATACTACGAGCCAGTGCGAATGGGGCCTTAACTTTCAAACACCTACCGATGCTTGTAGATTCAAGGATTGCTGCTCTGTAAGTATACTATATTATACGTTATTCCTCATAATCATGTTGATATTTGATGTTATTTACCTGAGGCACTGGACGTGTGTTATATTCCATGCAGGAGATCAGACAAGGGGAGGTAACTCCATCACGTCCATGTACAACTACAACCACATTTACAACTACTACTATTACTACTACTACTACTACTACCACTACCACTACCACTACCACTACTACTACTACTACTACTACCACTACTACTACCACCACCACCACTTCCACTGCCACTACTACTACTACTACTACTACTACTACCACCACCACCACTGCCACTGCCACTACTACTACTACTACTACTACTACTACTACTACCACTAATACTACTACCACTACTACCACTACTACTACTACTACTACTACTACTACTACTACTACTACTACTACCACTTCTACCACTACTACTACTACTACTACCACTGCTACTACTACTACTACTACTACTAGTACTACCACCACCACCACCACTACCACTTCCACTGCCACTACTACTAGTACTGCTACTACTGCTACTACCACAACTGCTACTGCTACTGTGAAGATCCGGGGTAGAATAGGTCTTCAGCAACCCATGTTTGCCGTGAAAGGCGACTATGCTTGTCGTAAGAGGCGACTAACAGGATCGGGTGGTCAGACTCGCTGACTTGGTTGATGCATGTCATCGTATCCCAATTGCGTGGATCAATACTCATGAGGTCAATCACTGGATTAACCACCACTACTACTTCTACTACTACTACTGCTACTACTACTACTACCACAACTACTACAGGGGGCACAGGTGGCCCAGTCGTCTAAGGTGCCGTGATTCGATGTGAAGAGTTGTGTCCCTTTGGCACGCCAGAAACCTATGATTGTGGGTTCAAATCCTGGTTCTCCTCCATTATGTTTCTAGGTTTGTCAGCACCATACCCGTGCTCGTGGGTTTCACCCAAGTGGTAAACGTCTGAGACCTGCATCACCTCAGGCTTTCCTCCCACATTAAGCTGGCACGCCGTGATATAACTGGAACACTGTTCAAAGCAGCGATAAAACCAACTCACTCACTCACAACCACTACAACCACTGTGACTACTTACTACTACTACTACTACAACTACTACCACTGTCACTACTACTACCACTGTGACTACCACTACTACTCTTGCTGCTGTGTGCTACTGTTCTTGTCAACGAGTATCTGTTCCTGTAGTGAACTTGTTCCTTAGTACTATGTTCTCTAGTGGAGGATGGAATTAATTCCATGTGGAACTGATCATTGTTGACAATATCTGCTCTGCAGGAATACGACAAACAAAATACACTTGGTGTTTCAAGGTTGTATTATTATCATGACATGGGTCAGAGTTGAAAGCATCACGTTACAACAATCTATACTGTTTGCCCCGCGCTGGGTCCAGGGATCCGTCCCTACTGCACAAGGACCGTGTCCTGTCAAATCATATACTACTCAAAAGATGTTAAGGAACACCTGATTCTTTCAAATTACTACAGTTAATCTTCCATGGCAGTGAGTACCCACCAATTCTTTCATATCACCATGGTTAATCGGTCATGGCATGACAGATTAACTATCGGAATATGAAAATATGGATGGTTCTTAAATTCTTTTGAGTAGTATATTATTATTCAATAGTTTCAGAAATAAGCTGTTCTTGATGTGTATGTACCTATGATGCAGATGTGTGAATGAGTATATAAGAAAATGCATTAATTGAGATGCCTAAGTTTTAGTGACATGGCAATCTGTACTACACCAGTAACGGTCAGACAAAACTTTTAAAAAAAATAGCACAGGTTTGTGACAAATTAACATTGATTTATTGATAGTAATACACCCCATTATTGTGTTGATATTATGTCTGTCTGTGCTAGGCTTCCAGGGTTCCGAGAAAGATGAATAGGTGACTGTATGGAATATTGTAGGGGATTTTATTCACTTATTTTTTTTAATATTTTGTATACTGACAGATAATCTTCCTGCAAGTTAAGTATATTGTTCTAACAACATAGGAATGTCTTTCCATTGAAAATATTTGTATACATTTTGTGAAACAATTTCTGAAACTTTTGAAATTCTTACATGACTACATTTCATATTAAAAACTAAAAAGATGCATACCTTATTACGAAGTGTAGACAGTGTTACTGCTGATAGAATGTCGACATTCACTGGAGTTTGTATGTGCATATTATATAGAGCATCTCACCTGAATATCATTGAATTTCAAATATATCGACAGGAATCGATAAAAGTTTTGAACTTCATCAACAAGTGTTGATATATTTCTTGTGTGTGATACACTGATTTGACTTGTGTGTGTCATGTGATACACACATATGACTTGTGTGTATCATGTGATACACAGATTTGACATGTGTGTGTCATGTGATACACAGATTTGACTTGTGTGTGTCATGTGATACACAGATTTAACTTGTGTGTGTCATGTGATACACAGATATGACTTGCATGTCATCTGACACACAGATATTTAGTGTCTATATAAGATGACTTCTTTTACAGTTTCATTGAAAGATATTTATGAAAATGTAAAAAGGCAGAGAAAGGTTTTCAGGCCTCCCTATTGGTTTCGGGATACATCAAGTCAATTATCGTTGGACGTGTTTTCAATATGGAGCACTGACAACATAAAACGGAGATATAAGGGGTGAACTTTACTGTCAACTTCACCTTTGATATTTAAACTGGGAAGATTGCTTCTTGCAAAGGAGGAGAATTTCAAGGACAATTTATTGTTTGAAAGTCACATAAATTGCAGGAAAATATCCAAGTTTAGTTCCAGTGGTAATTGCATCACCTTTGCGCTCTCTCTAATTAATTTCATCTGACTTATTGTGGGTCAGGGCGTCACTGTTGACATTCCACTGATAGATTTTACTTGTACGGTATTGATTCGGACCAAGAAAGCAACTGTATGTCAGATATTTGGAACATCGGTGAAGCGCTCGGGGCACTTTCACTGGGCCAACAAGGTATAGGCAATTGATGCAAGCCATTTCTTACAGGGACTATAGATCTTACTTCCGTCTAGGACCCGGTCTGAATTTTTGAAACAACCATGACGGATTTAATATGTTGGTATCTTCATCCATGTAAGTAAGTCTATTCTAGATTTGTATTCTGGAAATGCTTCACGCAATCTGTTCAAAAAATTTGTTTGAGTAAATATTTTGAAATATGCATGGTGTTTCGTTGAACTGACAAAACTGCTTGATGTGACGATTTGGCGTAAATGTACATTGAACATCTCTACCTTGGTTCCCATGATAAAACTAACTGAAATATGCTTTGTATTTCATTTGGATGAATAAATGTTGTCATTTAAACTAGTTCTGTCGGTACTGTTGTTGGATACTGTGAAAGTTTGGTATTGGTCTCAGTTGGTTTAGCTTTCAAATTGGTTTATTTGCAACTGTTTAAACCACCTAGATGCCCTATTATTTGTTTTGAGGAAAACCCTATGCAATTTGATATTGTGCTTACTGTGAATTAAGCAAAAATGAAAATTTCATACATGCATGAAATCAGAGAAACTGGCCTCAATAACTGGGCTTGTTTGACCATGATCAAATATTGTTTAAATGATGTATATGAGGTATTAGTAGACAATTTAATCATCAATAAATTTGATTTAGATACAATGTGTTTTAAAATGATCATGTATTTATTAAGTTCAAAGGATTGTAACAATTACTTTCCCTCGTAACTTTCTCCTGTTTAATAATCATAAAATGTAATGATTTGTTATACATAATCTGCAGAAAGTTTTCATACAGGTTATGTTTAACGAGGTCCATGAAACAGGTGAAAACAGGTGAGAAGGGGATTACAGGTAATTGAGAGGGGAAAACAGGTAGATGAAAGGGGGAATACAGGTAGATCAGGGTGAGATACAGGTAGATAGGCAGGGGAATACAGGTGGAGGGGGAATACCGGTAGATGAGGGGGTAATACAGGTAGATGAGAGGGGGAATACAGATAGATGAGAGGGGGAATACAGGTAGATGAAAGGGGAAAATACAGGTAGATGAGGGGGTAATACAGGTAGATGAGGGAGTAATACAGGTAGATGAGAGGGGGAATACAGATAGATGAGAGGGGGAATACAGGTAGATGAGAGGGGGAATACAGGTAGATGAGGGAGTAATACAGGTAGATGAGGGAGTAATACAGGTAGATGAGAGGGGGAATACAGGTAGATGAGAGGGGGAATACAGATAGATGAGAGGGGGAATACAGATAGATGAGAGGGGGAAGACAAGTAGATGAAGGGGGAAAATACAGGTAGATGAGGGAGTAATACAGGTAGATGAGGGAGTAATACAGATAGATGAGAGGGGGAATACAGATAGATGAGAGGGGGAAGACAAGTAGATGAGAGGGGGAATACAGGTAGATGAGAGGGGGAAGACAAGTAGATGAAGGGGGAAAATACAGGTAGATGAGGGAGTAATACAGATAGATGAGAGGGGGAATACAGGTAGATGAGAGAGGGAAAATACAGGTAGATGAAAGGGGAAAATACAGGTAGAGGAGGGAGTAATACAGGTAGATGAGAGGGAGTAATACAGGTAGATGAGAGGGGGAATACAGATAGATGAGAGGGGGAAGACAAGTAGATGAAAGGGGAAAATACAGGTAGATGAAAGGGAGTAATACAGGTAGATGAGGGAGTAATACAGGTAGATGAGGGAGTAATACAGGTAGATGAAGGGGTAATACAGGTAGATTAGAGGGGGAATACAGGTAGATGAAGGGGGAAAATACAGGTAGATGAGGGAGTAATACAAGTAGATGAGGGAGTAATACAGGTAGATGAGAGGGGGAATACAGATAGATGAGAGGGGGAATACAGGTAGATGAAAGGGGAAAATACAGGTAGATGAAGGGGGAAAATACAGGTAGATGAAGGGGTAATACAGATAGATGAGAGGGGGAATAC